ATGTGCGGCAAATACGCCAAAGAAGCTCTTGTACTTCTTTGGGTGTAGGGCGCTTTGCAGCGCGTTTTCCTACGCGCTGTAAAATGCGCAGGTGGGAACTATGCCCATAGCAAATCATTGGTTTTCACATGTTGAGCGTTTTTACAGAGCGTAGGAACGCGCTGTAAAACGCCCAGGTGTGAACCAGGCCTAAAGTATCTTAACTATTAACAAAAATGTTACTTATTTGTGTATCACTCGGCTGTAGATCCTCAAATCATCTCTGAATTGGTGCTGATACTGTCCTTCCTTATGGAGGGTGGCTACTTTTTTGTTCCCCATGGTCCCTGTGTGTGTTGTAAAGTAGCCACCACTCAAGCTCATTCCCATGAAGGACTACATGCTCAGGTTTAGTTTACTAATTTGTATTGAGCTTGTAGTCTATCACAGGAGTGAGCTTGGAGCGGTGGCTACTTTATAACACACACAGGGACCATGGGGAACAAAAGTAGCCACCCTCCAGAAGGAAGGACAATTCAGAGATGATTTGAGGATCTACAACCGAGTGGTACACAAATTAGATACATTTTTGTTATTAGTTAAGGTACTCAAATGCAATTTAAAAATGTAATGAACATCCATGTCTTAAGATTTTATTAGTAGATACAACACTACCAGTGGAATATCATGCACCCTTTCTATGCCTGTTGCTTGTAAAAGGAGATCTCCTGAATAGTAGAGCCTAAGAGGAATATCCCTACTAAGTTCTGCATCTAAAATTCTATCTGAGATTATAACCACATGACTAAATTGTATATGAAGGTGTGAGACTACTATGTAGCCTTTAGGATTGGAAAATCAAGGGCAGATCAGATCCTGTCTTCAAAACAAGTACTTAATAGACCTATGAGCATGGCCTAGAAACATTGCTTTTGCTGATTTTTTTAGAGCAGCATAGCATAGGAAAACCGCTGTCTACAGCCATGAGGAAAGTGGGCAAATCAGAAAAACTGATCATGATGATATAACCTTCTATGGCAGATAGTACAGCACACATACACATCCAGAGGCATTGAATAATATTACTGGAGTGAGGCAGGGCATTACATAGGCACGTATGCTCCTTTTATGTGGCAATCAAGAAAGTTATTAAAGAGGCAAGCATACAATCCACATTTTAATCAGTGCAGATACTTGGCCATGCTGATTACATTAAAGCAAGCTCTAAGGATACTCTAATCCAAGCTCTCTTGGCATTGAAAAAAGCAGCTGTTAGGATGGCTATTATGATCCATCAGAAGAAAACCAAGTACAGGTATTTGTCTATAAGAAACAGAAAACAAGGCAGGGCACATGAATGAACAAGTTAAATATTTCTTCAACTTGGTACAAAGGTTAATTCAGAGAATAATCTTAGCAAAGATATTCAAATATAAAACAAATGCCAATAGATAGTATTGTGGTCTGCAAGATCAGTTCAAAGATCCAGTTCAAACATCAACCACCACAAAGGTGCAGTTGTATAAAACATTTTGATAGGGAAAAGCTTTATTCATTTGAAAGGAAGGTGATTAGGGCACTATATAAAAAGGAACTTAAGCAAAATTCTTTTTGGGGAAAAGGAGAATTTCCGTTGGGTTTTATTGCTGTCCTAGTCTCCACTGGGGAAATGTTAACCTTTATCCCAGTGATTACTGTCCCCAGGACAGCAAGTGAGTAGCAATCTCTCAAGTGAGTACACAGAAGACAATAAAATGAAATCTGAAAGATTTACAAACCTTTTATCTATCTGGTGAAAAATGTTTTTTTTGACTGCTGACCTTTTGGAGGGATTTTTCTTTCTAACTTCCTGGTGTGTCACAAACTAAGGGAGAATCTCCCTGGCAGAGCTATACAAATACTGTATAATATGTAAGCTGAGGTCCCTAGAAGAATGTTACCCTAAAACTACAGTTTGTTAATTTCACAGAAAGGTGCCACATGTGCAGGTTATAGTTTATACGATGTAGGCACTGTACAGTATCCCCATGACATTTTCCCTTACTATAGTGAACTGGCATTCTTTTGTCATTCTTCCTAAGACCGCAAACCTGCTATAAAAAAGAGCCCCTTAATTGGCCAAAATCTTCCTGCTAATTGTAGCTTGTTGTATCATTATTATAGCTATCTGGGTCTGTATACCTTGAACTCCATTATTCATTTTTAACTGAATATGTATTCACTGTGCATATTTTATACAAGGCTTTTATTTACAAATGCAGTTCTTTTTGAATGTTCTAAAAAATCTTTTTTGTTTCCTGAATGTTCTTTCCAGCAGTCCCCGACGGTGGTGAAGAGGACGAAGGCAGCACCCTCATTGCAAGGAGAGTTGGGGAAGCTGTACAGAATACACTGGGAGCTGTTGCCACAGCCATTGACATTCCTTTAGGTAAGTTATGTTTGTTTTTATAGCTGCACTCAATTCCTCAGCACTTTGCATAGATCATTCCCTTACAGGTTACATTTTGCTGTTGCTCCCATTGCCATACAAACATACACACAAACAAGAGCCCATTGGGTGGTTTCTAATTAATCTACCAGTATGTATTTAACATGTTGGAGAACATAAGAGCACCCAGTTAACAGGTTGAGAACATACAAATGATACCCCTGGCAGTAGCTAGGGCCGGCATCCAAGTGTTTAAGGCCAAAATGCTAAACACTGATGATCAACAGAAAAAGTGAAGTGCTGTCTATGGTGACCAATCAGGTTTCATGTTTTATTCCATGGTGAGAACATGAGGAATCGGATTAATCATCCTTTGCAACAACTCACTTTTCCAGATGTAATTTTTTTTTATAATTCACACCCTTATCCATTAGTTGCATGAACAAAAATGTTGCCTAACTAACCCCAAAATAAAAATGTAATGCAATGCAACTTACCATTGCATAGATGTGCTGGCTGCTTTAGTTTTTCTTTTTTTTTTTTCCAGTCTAAGAACATGTACAGAAAATACCTATTGATCTTCCCAGAAATGCAGCATCCTTGCCACTTCAAAGGCAGACTGTCACAGTTGAACAAAGGCAGACTGTCACAGTTCAGCTGCAGACTTGCAGCGGAGCTGCTACTTGTAGTTCTACAAGTATATACACAGACCTCTTACCCCTGGTTCTGGAGGCATGCAGGGCTGTGCTGTTGCTTGTAGTCCTTCAGACATGTGCTCTGAACCAGACTCACTCTTGCACCAGTCTGGCAGCTATACCTGTCGGCCGATCTTTCCTACTGTTTCTTATACAACTTCTCGGCCAATCAGTGCAATCTGCTCGTGGCCAATCCTGTGGTTCCTCTCTCGTGCTGACTCTATTTAAACCCAGGGCAGCAATGCTTTCCCAAGCTAGAGGCTGAGCCCCACCAGTTGCGGATGAACCTGAATTCCTTGACGTTTACCAACCTTTAGCTTGTCCCTGGAAATCCTTATCCTCAGTCTGCTCTGAACTTTGACTTATCCCTGGTGATCCCAGTCTTCAGTCTGTCCCTATCCTTTGGATTGTCTCTGGAAGTCCTAGTCATCTGTCTGTCCCTGACCTTTGTTTTCTCCCTTGTATGTGTGTCTGCAACCTGTCCAGAACTCTGGCCTTGTCAACCATTCTTGGCTGTTAGGTGAGTTGGGTGAACCTAGGGATAGTGACCCGGGGTCAGCACGCAGCTAAGCCCATCTCCACCATCAGGAGCTCTGGTGAACCCTGGCTGGCCCTTAGATTCCACATGCTGGGGGACCCCATGCCACCTACCTAGCATTGCAGCACCTTGCCCAGCAACTTGACCTACCAGCCTATTCTGTCTTCCACTGCCTCATTCTGTTCCCTTGCTCTGTTCCCTGCTTGGACCCTTTTCTCTAAGTGTCCCTGCCAGTGTAGTAGAAAGGGTCCACATGCCTGACTCTAGTTCATACCTGTGAACCCTGATCCGTGACACAAACATGTTTGAAGTCAAGTATAGCGAGACAATCATGGCCCCCTCCATAGATTCAGTGGTTTAGGTAAGTGCAGAATGTGTGGTATTCACAAGATCACTCTGTGAAAATAAAGGGGGGAAAAAGCCATAAAAAAAACTAATGCAGGCACCACATCTAAGGACTGTTAAGCTGCTACATATTACACTTGGGTTTAGATCCACCTTAATTTTGTGGGGGGTTTTTTTTCATATTTACTTTTACCCCCTCCCTACAACTACTTGGTAGAAAAAAAAATTTTTCCAAACCAAATTTCTTCGCAGGAGGCACCTTTTTATTGGCAGTTTGATTTTAACAACAGAGCTGCTTTAAGGGTAGATCTTTTTTTGAGGTTTTTATTTTATTTTAGAGTCCACTTGCTGATTTATTTGTAACATTTTCTTAATGAAAATTTAGGGCTTATGAAAGATGCTGCAAGACCTATATACTGGATTCCAGACCATGAGATCACGCATTGCTACAACTGCAAGAAGGAATTCAACATCAAGCTCTCTAAACACCACTGCCGAGCCTGTGGTCAAGGTTTCTGTGGCGACTGTTCAAATGATAAAAGGCCAGTGCCCTCTAGGGGTTGGGACCACCCTGTCCGTGTCTGCATTACCTGCAGTAAGAGACCTGGTGACCTATAACGGTTTCTTCCCATTACCAGCAGTACCTACTCAGGGCTAGAATATAATGGATCCACTCTTCCTCCTTAGGCTTCAGTGCCAGTGCATGCTTGACCTGTCAGCTGTAGTCTCCCCCATGCCTGTATCATCTTATTAAACAAAATGGCACCAAACTCGCTCTTTCAAGGAGACAAGACAGCATATAATCTGCACTTTTTAATATTGAAAGGAAAAAAAAAAGTATAATATAAACTTGTTAATCAGTAAGAAAATGACATATGAACCTTGGATGCTGGATCTCATCTTAAACACCCTCATGATATCCTTCAATAAGAAGGCTGGAATCACCTTACCCTTACTGCTAGGTTCAATATATCACAATTTAGCAAGGATCCCCTTCAGCATCACATTACGTTTAAATTTGATCACTTGGATAGGAATTCTAGTTCAGTGTGTGCACGTGGGGCTATATTTTAAAAGGATTTATGTTATGATACTTAAAGTGACAAACCCTCAGATTTTTTTTTACATAAACCAATACTGTAATGTGTGCCTTACTGTAATCCATGGTAGTTTTCCTTCTCTTTGCTGCTTTTCATTTTAAATCCTCATGTCTTCTAATGCTTGGTGAGAACTTCCCTTTTCAGCTCAGGGCCTCTTCCTGTAGTGCTGGCTCAGGTTATAAGCCTATACACAGACACCATGTATCTATTCCTCAGACAAGGCAGTCTGCTGCAAAACAGAAGTTCTGCCCAGCATGAGAACAGATACAAATTTAAAAGGAAGAGCAGCAAAGAGAAGGGAAACAACCATGGATTACAGTAAGGCGCACATTACAGTATTGTTTTATGTTAAAAAATCTGAGGGTTTAATGTCACTTTAAGGAGAAAAAAAAAAATCAAGTTTGCCTTGCCCCAGTAATCATTTTAGCTATTGTAACAAGGATTATTTCAGGTGAATGTTTGTGTTTCTATGTATGAACATCAAGCCAAATTTTCATATTAAGAAATGTATATTTATTTCCCATGTTCCCAGAATATATAAAGAAATATAAAAAATGACTTGAATCATGGTTTTCAGTGTAAAAATGTACTCTAAGGTAGTCTTCGTATTAAAATGTATTGTTTTTATTTGAGCAACTGTAAAAACTGGACAGTATCGTACACTGACAGTTGAATAAAATGAAGGAAGAAAGTAGTAATGGCGAAACCATAACTCTAGGAGAATTGTTTAATACACAGTTGAAATACATACAGTATATGTGAACTGTGCTATCTGCCAAAGGATTTGTAATTGTGTCTAGCCACATGGGTGAGTCATACAGCAAGGACAGGGACACCACGTACGTACTCTTTTTTTAGCCTTAAGCAATATAGTGGTGTACCCTCCCTCCTGCACCCTTGTCATCGAACAATGAAGCATTAATACACACATAACTGATCAATCTGCTCACTGGTATTAATATCTATTAAGATACTTATGCTAATTTAATTAAAAAAACACAAATGCATTCAATGGAGGTTCTTTGTTTATACAGTAACCCCCCCCCATAGCCGGCATTCAAGCAAATGTATTTAGTTGCTAACGAAATTCTTTGGGTACATCTTGGTACATCCCGGCAGCAAGATTGCGCGGTCGGCAGCAATATGTATAAACAATGGCAAGAAATGGCCAGCCTGCTATTTCAAATTGCAATAGTCAATAGCAGGCTGGCAATTGTGCCTGCCCACTGAGTAGAGGAGCGGACAGAAGAGAGATCTTTCTCTCTCAGGTCTGCTCAGTAGGTGGGTTTCAATAGCCAGCCTGCTATTGCAATTTGAAATAACCTATATCAGGCTGGCTATTGAAACACCGCCCACCAAGTAGAGGAGTGGACCTGAAATGTAACTTTTTCCTCCTCAGGGCAACTCCTCTGCTTGGTGGGCAGGGTTTTAATAGTCATCCTGCTATTTGCGATATCAAATTGCAAAAGCAGGCTGGATATTGTTCCCCCCTACTAAGCAGAGAAGTGGACCTGAGAGAGAACTTTTTTTTTTCCCTCAGGGCCACTTCTCTGCTTGGTGGGCAGGGTTTCAATTGCAAGCCTGCTATTACAATTTGAAATGGCCAATAGCAGTCTGGCTATTTCTCCCGGCTGCTTACATTCACCTGTCGGCTGCAGAAGCTAGCCAGCAGGTAAATGGGGCTGTGGGGGGAGTGGTTGTTTGTTTGAGAGTTACCCGTGGGTGCTGGATAACTGGGAGTTTACTGTATCTGTTTTATGGATATAACCATATCTGGAGTTTGGCTTTAATGTCCTTCCTGGAATAAAGTCCAGAAGGTCAAGATTGTAATAGTAATACTAAAGTGGAAAAAGTCAGTCACTGTTTAAAAATAACAGTTTGTATAAGACAGGTCTGGGCAAATCCCCAGCAGCCAAACATCTTAAAGTGACACTAAACTCAGGAATTAAATCTTAATAATGCATTCAAGTACCTTTTTAACTATTAACAAAAATGTATCTTACTTGTGTATCACTCGGCTGTAGATCATCAAATCATCTCTGAATTGGTGCTGACACTGTTCTTCCTTCTAGAGGGTGGCTACTTTTTGTTCCCCATGGTCCCTGTGTGTATTGTACAGCAGCCACCGCTTCAAGCTCATTCCCGTGATGGACTACAATCTCAATGCAAATGGGTAAACTAAACATGAGATTGTAGTCCATGGGCGTGAGCTTGGAGAGGTGACTACTTTGAGGGACCATGTGGGGGGGACTGTCCGAATCAATTCAGAGATGATTTGAGCCGAGTGATACACAAATAAATAAGATACAGTTTTGTTGATAGTTAAGGTACATGACTGCTTTTTTAAGATGTAACTCCTGAGTTTAGTGTCACTTTTTAAATCATATCTAGCACCCAATTTGTTTCACATTTTCTGTTGTCATCAATTGAAGCCTGTTCCCTGACTCCCGCAATTTACTTGCTGACTCCTGATTTAAGAATGGTTTTGTCCACTCTATGTAAAAGATGTCAGACAATTTCTATTCGTTCAAAGCAGTGGGCAGTTTATTTTATTGGTATTTCACTGAGCTTTTATTTATAGAATATTTTCATTATAGCCCTGCAATTCAAGCTTTAGAATGTGTGGTCTTTACCGATGGCAGGTCTAAGAATTTATCAGAACATTCCTTTTTGTTATGATTTGACTGGGGTGTTTTCTTGTATTTAACATGCTACATAATGTCTAGTTGTAATCAACGTATTTCTCTTTTATCTATATATACTGGAGTAGTAATTTATTTTGTTTTATCTGTAAGTGCCTTTTCAGCAATTTGTAAAGAAAAAAGTAATCCCGTTTTTCTTGGTTTATTCCTCCACCTCCCTTTTTTTTTTTTTTTTGCAGATGTACCTCCTATAAAGGTTCAGAACACATATTAATGTTGGTTGCTGTGTTTTATTATGCTTACTGTGGATTTGGTATGGCCTTTATGTCCGTTTTATGTTTAGGCTAATGTTAAATTAGGGAAATTTGGTTTTAAAGGGTTTTTCCACTTGGCTGCAAATATGATCTTCTTGAAACTCATGCCTGTCATAAGTGAAGAACAGAATCCCCTTCTTCTTACTGTTTGTAACCAACAGCTCATGTTAAGACAGTCACAACCGGTAACTCCCAGAAGGGTAGTCATTCCCACTGTTGTACATGCAGTACTGATTGACAAATATGGCCAGTTCAACCACCCGCAAGTTCACCCTCAATGTGCGTAAATACTTTGCTTGACGAGAACCAGGCATTACTGGGATCATGAATCTGAATATCTGTGTTTCAAAAAAAAAATGTACAAGCTTTCCTATAAAATGTATTTACCCCTTATTTAGAATACTTTAAGGCACAATTCAAAATGTATTACATTTGTTTGTAAAACAAAAATTGTATAATGTAAAAACGGATTTAAACATTTGTTTAAAAATTTACAAACCCCCCCCCAAAAATAAAGCGACCAACCCCAAACCATTATTTTCCTTTTTAAATTTACTGTCATGGTTTTGGTGAAATATTTATCTTAATCATTCATTAAGGGACACAGGGTAGAAGTAGAGACACTTGGTTATGTTCCTGACTAGAGGAGATTAGACACTGGCAAACAAAGCTGTAAAACATCCTAGTGGTATATACTCCCAGTTTTTTTTGCTAGTTTCCCCGAAGAATGGATGTCTTCACTTACCTGAGGGAAGCAAACATGTTGTTTTTTTTACCTTTTCTACATTTATAACGATTCTGCAGTTGCTGCAGAGCTAAAAAAAAAATATGCTGACTTTACAGCCTTCCAGATCCGGTGATCCTCAGCATAGCCATTAAGGCTGTATCTGGACCCTGCTGTGGGGCCCTTTTATTGTGGGCTCTGCTGTGGCACTCTTCAGACACTTTCTGCACCAAGGAGTTAGCTGCAGAGCGCTTTACAGATCCAGGGCACAGATAGATCCATTTGGTGGAATCCTGTCCCTGAAGACTCCCTTCGGGAGTATGTCTACCTGAGGAATCAAGACCATCTGTGATGTGCATACATGCCGGGCTGGGTTTCTCTCAGCCATCCACCATAATTGGTGCATAGCAAGACTTTGCCCCTGCTAATAAAGGAGTCCAGTACCTGTACATAGTGCATCCTGCTTTTAATGTAGCTGTGACATACTCTTCATGTGTCGTGACCCCACCCTCCTTATGGGTCACTATGCATGCTGCTGTGTGTACACATTTTCTAGGTATCTCCCACGCTCTGCCATTCAGGGAATTTCCATAGTGGGGTACCTAGATGACCTGCTGAGGGAACAGTCGGCAGAGACTCTGTCAGTCAATGTCCAACAAACTGTTCAAACTCTGCAGAGGTTTTGGTGGATCCAGATGCCAGTGCTGTAACCCACTCATAGCTGGGGAGTATTTGGGCCTCTTACTGGATACTGTTCTGTCCAAAGTTTTTCTTTCGCAGGAAAAACTCCCCCCATCTCTCCTCCCATGTTCGAACTCTTATCATCCTTGAGCAATCCTACCCTCCAATTTTGCATTAAGGTTTCTGGGCTTGATGGTCACCTTCTCAAGGCAGTGTCATATGCCCAATTCCATCCCAGACCATTACAACTCAATATTCTGGCTGTGTGGGACAAGGAGGCACATTCTCTGAGCAATTGCATATGACTGTCACCCAAGAGCAGGTTAGCCCACATAGTTCCACATGTGCTCCCAGCTGTTAGTCCATGGGATCTCAAACTGGTTTGTCAGCCCTTTAAAAACCACCGTTTGAACCATAGATATTCCTTTTGTCTACTGTCACTGACTAAGTAGCCTTCTTCATTGACATTACCTCTGCAAGGCAACTTTCTGAGTTGGAGGCCTTAACCTGTAAAGAACCCTTTTTTGACTTATACAGAGATAAAGTAGGCTTAAGGCCTAAGACCGCCTCTCTTCCCAAGGTGGTTCTTCCCAAGGTGGACCGCCTCTCTTCCCAAGAAATGATCTCTCCATTTGAGATCATTTTGTGGGGCATAAATAAGGTTTTCCTTCTTAAAATCCTGGTATCACGCAGCCACAGCTCTCCATCCAATTTGCCAAATATATACAAATCTCAGCAGTGTATGGTGCAGGGATTTTCAGCATCGAGGTCAACAAAATCTGCCTGTTGAACACTTCTCAGCCAATTTGTGATATGCAAGCAGACTATTTTTTTTGTCATTCCTGAGGGTCACTGTAAGGGACAGCCTGCTTTCTCATTCCATCATTTCTAGGTTGATTTGACAGCTCGTCGTTCAAACCTATAGACTGGAGGATGAGGTTTCACCCTGCCTGGTCAAAGCACACTCCACAGGATCAGTTAGTGCTGATTCATGGGTTTTTCAGCATCGGGCATCTGTTTCTCAGATATGCAGGCTGTCACCTGGTCTTCTGTTCATATATTAGTTCGTTTTTACCAGGTGGATGTTTTGGCCTTATCTGATGCCAACTTTGGTTGTAAGGTTCTTCAAACAGCTGTTTTCTGAGAGCCTGTTAGCCTTTTGTTTGCAATCTTGCCCACCGGACTTGTACTGCTTTTGGATGTCCTTGTGTCTCAGAATACCTCTACCCTGTGTCCCTAATGAATGATTACGAAAACAGGATTTTTGACATACAGTACTTTTTTCCTGGAATGCATTAAGGGATGCCAATCTCACCCCCAGTTCTTATGATCCACAACCTATTACTTTTTCCACAAAACTGGAGCATGATAGGACTGAGGAGGAAGGATACCAGCCTGTTTTACAGCTTTGTTTGCCAATGTCTGATAGCTTGTAGGCAGCAACATTACCCCAGTGTTTCAGGATACTTTCACAATGTTTCCCCTAACATGACAGTAATCTGTCATCGGAACTGTGAGCGTCGAACAGTGTGCTGCCTGCCGGGGGCTCAGGGATTTTACACTAAGTCATAAATAATGTTATTACAATTCTTGGCAGGATTTCACATCCGCCCATTTACACCGACTATTGCAAAGTCAAAATATGTTACGCTGCTAAACCCTTTGTATAGGTAAAAAAAGCATTGTAAACACATTACATTCAAGTCCAAAGGTTTATCGTTTTTTTTAATAAAAACTATTATAACCATTTGCTATATGTAAAACCGATATAGCCATAGCAGATGTACCTTTATTTGTCAGTTTTAAATCGTATTTGTCCAAACCAGGAATCCCTAATCTAGCCTTGTGCTTGGAATACTTATAAAGTTATCCATGTTTAATTAGTGATCTAACATAACCACCATCCTCCCCATAAAAGCTGGACTACAGTGGGGCTGCATCTGGCAATACATCGCTCATCTACTAAGAAAAGTAAGCAACCCACAAAGAATGCCCTGCCAGAGAAGCTCAGTGATTGGAAGACTCATGAGGGAGAATTTATCATGGAATTATCATTTTCAGCAAACTTAATCAACATGTCAATTATTAGTTGGCATAGCATGCATACAGAAGCCTCCAAGAGCAGGTAAATTGGGATGGAACTGATCCAAGTAATGCCCTGTTAGCAAAGCTGTATGCATAGTTGTACAAGTTAGGTATAGAAACAAAATCTAACATCTCACCTTCAATGTATCTACCACTGGGGTGAGATGTGAGTTGTCAGGATGTCATTAATTTTCAAAACTGATGCAGTATCCATGTGGAGGTACACTATCTCAGCAAGGAAGTCCTCAGTCCCTTTTTGAATGAGACGATGATTTTAATGGATGTACAACTTTATTTACAAATGCAATGTTACCAAATCAAGATGATAATATGATGCCAGACTATTAATTAAGGTAGATATGGGTAGCATACACTAGAGGATGTCTAGAGGTTGCCCCTTATTTCTTCAAGCCTGCCATAGAACCCACACATGCTGCCCATTCCACGCGGCACTCTACTGTGCTAGCGGATGTTAAAAGGCCAGGCAGTTGGGTTGAGTTTCTGTTATAAGTCAACTACTTTATTTTTACTGTTTTGCAGCATATCAGCCTATTTCAGTCTTGCATCTGTAAATAAAACTATACTTATTTAAAAAAAAAAAGAACTGGGATTAAAACCCCTATATATTACCTTAGTCTAAATCACACAACTGGAAGGAAACATTTTGAAAATAGTGGTTTCAGGTCACAAAAACCCTCCTCTTGCATGTTCTTTCTAAGGCATGTAGGTCAGACCTTAAAGTGAACCTGTGCTTTCCCATATAGGGTATAGCAACATGCTCACTTTAATGCCAGTCCCCCATAGCCACACTTTTATCTTCGTTCTCTTTGTGTCCCCCCCCCCACACTGTATTTGCCCACAGGAGTGAGGAGATGTGCAAGAGGCAGATGACTCTCCAGCCAGCTGTGAATCACCAGCACTGGCACATGCAAGAAAGAGGGATGAATAACATTTTGCCCTAAACCCCAGAAGTACCAGATATGCTGCTTCACTTCCTAGAAGCATCTGATGGGGCCAACTTTAAAGTCAAACTGATCCTTTTCCATGCATGGCTAAACACAAGTTCACTTTAAAATGATTGTCAATACTTTACACCTTATAAAAACATTATGACTACTGTATTACAGCTAGGTGGATAAAGTCCAGTAGATGCGAGGCTTCGTGTGCGTATATATACACTGTAAATATGGACTAAAGGCTCATTATTCTTTTTTTTCCAACAGCTGTATTGAAAATGCAAAGGCTCTAGTAACTGGTAGATTTTCCAAGCTTGCCATCAAATTTGTTATTAACCCTTATTTATGTTGTATGTAAAGTGATACAAGTCTTTCTGAACAGCCATAAGGAGGCCAGGAACCATTTGCCTTTTCCCTCCTAAGTGGGAAGAAAACACCACACTCGGTATGGTGTCCTTGGATGCTGGGTGTGGAGATGGGATAGTCCGGAGTAGTCTGGTATCTTGCAGGTTCCAAATTCTTGTGTAGCAATCCTGGCCAACTAAATACAAAGTTAAACACAGACATTAGTCATCCTCACTGCCTTACCTATGTACGTGAATAATCCTCAATATTCTGGTTTTATTTTAAAACTAAGGATTTTCCCCTTATTTTTAAGACCTTCTTAAAACTTCATGAACTATCGCAAGTTAATTCCTACAATAAGCTTTTACCCCCTTGGCAGTTTTCACATTTTGCTGTAGTACAACATTAATTCACAGCAGATTTAATTTTGCTGCACACTTATCAACAGAGAATAGGCTTTCCCCTATCAAGGTGAAATCAGATGTCTGCAAAATGATTTCAATGAATCACCATGAAAAACACAACACTCAATGAATAAGTATAAGCCAGTGAGTCAGTATTCAATTATCCTCTTCTGAACATGCTAGTTCTCTAGATGTTATTTAGATCTTCCATCTTCAGCATTGTAAGATCCTCTGTCCCAGAACATGCAGCTGATGTAAGAAAATCTTGAACATCAACATGACAGCCGTGGAATAAACATTTTTAGTCAGTAGAAGCAAGAGTGAAAGTTTACAATGAAAGTCCTTACATACCTGCAACAAGCAATCCTTCGTCTTCTTTAACATGGAGTGGTAAATAAGCATAACTATTGTTATGTCCCTCATACTGCTGTAAACATTTTACCATCCTCATATCCCACAATTTGATCTGTACAAAGGAAAAAGCTTTATACCTTAAACTGTCTGACATGTATAAAAAAACTAATGTAAATATATATTTTCAACAGTAACGTCAGGTTGCATATTATACATCATAGCTAGATTTAATGTACCTGTCCAGACATATCCGAAACCAAGAGGTAATTTTCATCCCGGAGAAGATGCAAACAAGTGATGGCAGAATTCTGGAAAAAAGATGTCCCCTTTTTCCAGTTAGAAGGAGAAAGTGCAGGGACACGCATATCAATAGAGAACACCTCTCCAGAGCGGCAGCCATTGTACAGCAGTAAGTTCTGAAATTAGAAGAAACATCTGTTCATTTTAAAGGGTTATACAGACACAATAGGAAAACACTTTCAGGAATCAACATACTTATTAAGGGTTATAGCAAGAAATGTGAGCTTTCATCGTAGGTGCAGTTTCTTACTGCCCTGACAAAAGTCTGTCAACAATTTTACAACATAGCATAATCGGAAGGGGACGGGAACACAATATTCTAGTCTAGAGAGCAATGTGTTCTGCAGAGGGGAGCAAAAAAATTATCTAGCATCAGAATACATGTACAGCACATTTAGCAGATGTTATGTGGAAAAACCAACTCTTAACAGTTTCTGCCTTGGCTGCTAAATAATCTCTACTTCATCCTTGTATTATAGTAAAGCTGCCCATACACTAGTCGATCCTCCATCTATGGCTATTGAATTCTGATAGCAAGGTGTGTGCCACTGTCAGAGTACTCGAACAGTGGCTGCAATCGCTGTTCAACCAGGAATTTTCAGACCACATCGTTTAGCAAAAAGTCAACGGAAAAATCTACTTTTGTCAAATTTTGGACAAGCAGTGTACAGCCAGATTTACATTCACAGCGAGATCACAATCTGTGTGTTCAACCTGTCACCACATTAGCTGGAACCTGATACCATCATTGACATTTTCTTAGTTATCAAATAAAAAGATTTACATAAAGAATTGTGAATACATACAAGTCCTGAAACCCATTAGGTCAGGGCTCCGGGACCTCCTGCCTAAGCAATGCACTCCAGAAAAATCGGCAAAAGTATGCTGCCGCACAAAAGAATAAGAGATAGCACTGAGACACCAAAGGTGGACAAAAAGTTGCCCTCTTCAAAGTCTTTTATGCAATGTCTCTCTGCTGTCCTATTTACAGATAAATTTAGCCCTGCTTTTCAAGATTTATGTTGTGATCACACATTATACTCCACCATCAATGTAACACTAATTATAGAAGTACATTTTTCAAAACTTGGTAGGAGCTTATGTAATCTAAGCAGTACCCGTTATCAAGTCAGTCATCAGTTTACAGAAGGCAGAACAGCTGAAGAGTTTGGATTTGTTGCTATAAGATTTTATACTCTATGTTGTGTAATGACAAACCCTCAAAGAGTTCCACAAACATAAGACTGGGGAAGGTTTAAATAGACCTAAAGTCAATCCTTTTTTTTGGTTTATTTAGGGATGCACCGGTGCCGATACTGGGCATTTTCACGAGTACTCGTTCTTGCGATAATGCCCCGATACTAAGCTCCGATACCGGCGCTTTAACTTTTTAAATACAAGTGGCAGTTTTTAAATACGGCGCCTGTTTACATTGGCGGTCCGGACGCACATCTCCTCCTCCTTGCCGCACACAAAGCCCTGATGAGACCCGTCACGCAGGCCTGGTGAGACCCGTCAGGCAGCAACACAGAGTATGTAGCTTCATATTATTCTGCATTGCTGTATAATGCATTGCAGGGATTTGTAGTCCTCTATTGCTGGTTGTATTCTGCATTGCTATATAATGCATTGGTGGGATTTGTAGCCCTCTATAGCTGATGTTATTCTGCATTGCTATATAATGTATTGCTAGGATTTGTAGTCCCTCTACAGCTTGAAGTCAGTGGCAGAACTATCAGGGACGCAGCGTTTTCAGCTGCGACCGGGCCCTGGTGCTTCCCCACCGGCATGAAATCATTTGTCTGTATTGTTATAGAAAATCTGTCACATGATGCTAAAAAAAAGTATCAGTAATTAGTATCGGCGAGTACTTGAGGAAAAGTATCGGTACTTGTATTCAGTCTTGAAAAAATGATATCAATCCATCCCTGTGAAGTAGAAAATGCTTAAAACTCCTCTTTTTTTTGCTGTTCATGTACAGCTGGAGAGAATACCCTTCACTAACTGCCCCAGGAACACAAGGAAGTTAGAGGAAATCCCCTCTAGGACAGCTGTCAGAAACAGATATTCCTATTGTAAGATTTCACCTCTATTCCTGGCACAAATTTGACATTTCTAATTTCCCATCACTTTGTATCCTGTCAACAGTCACCAGGACAGACCGAATGAGTCTTCCCAGTGGGAGCAGTCATTAATAAAAACTTGACAAAAAGTTCTATAACTTTTACACTCTATCCAAAACAATAACATTTTAAAGCTTTGGATACACTTTAATACTCCCCAGCATTTTTGCTTTACATGTTATTATGTGTCTCTGACAGTGAGTTTCCCTGGAGCTGTCAAGGATACATGATAAGAGTACAGCTAGCTGTATGCAAGCAACTCGATCAATATATTGACGGAAGGCCAGTGTCAGATTCCTATTAACTAGAAGCAAATCAGAAATGGTTGGGGGTGTACATCTATTTTATATTTTTACTATATTGAATAATGGCTTAACATTTAAAAGTGAAACCTAGTGACAGTGTCTCTTTAGAGAGAAAAATCAAATTAATAAAAATAAGAATGAAATTAATAAAAATATCCCCTCTCCCCATTAATTCCCAGGTCTCAGGAAAAAAATGACAAATGCTCCTGATATTTTACATGTAAGCGAGAGTAAAGTTAAATGAAATATGAACAATCGCAACTCTGTGAAAATGTCACTCATGCTCATTTCTGTTTGTGCAAACTTGACTTGATCTTAATTAGGGTTGCACAGATACCAAGTACAGTACTCGGTACAAGTACGAGTACATGTACCGATACTTTTGAGCTCCAAGACTACACTAGAGAAAAATTCAAAAATTAGGAGGCAGCTGTCATTTGTAAGGAGCACACGGAGCTCCTGGGATTTGTACATCTCTGTTTTAATGTATGATTTTGTTTCTATAAATATATATAAAGGGATGCACAGATACCAGTTTTGCGAGTACGAGTACTGGTACTTGCCGAGTACTTACAAGTACTGATAAATTTTTGTTTATTGTCATGTGACAGTTTTTCTAAAACAATACAGACTAATGATTTCAGGACAGTGGGGGAGCTCCAGAGCCAGGTCCCAGCTGCAACCTCTGCAACCCTGGTAGTTCTCATGAAAATGCCAAGTATCTGCGCTGGTACTCGAAAAGTATCTGTGCATCCCTAATCTTAATGTTACATAATATAACACTGAAAGGGGCAAAAGACTCTCCTAAATAAAAAAGTTTTCACTTAGCCAATCAAGGAAAGAGATGGGGAAAATACTCCTATATACAGTATATTGCAAAACAATATGATATAATAAAGGACATATACCTCTGTAGCAAACTGCTGGGCCAAAACATCACTATTAATTTTAAATGTTCTCCGAACATCTGTTACAGTGTTCATTACCAGGACTTGATTCTTCAGTCCTTCAAAGTGAAGAAAAAACAAGTCAGGAAAAACAGACATTAAAAAGGATGTCTGAACCCAAGAACAAACATTAACCAGTTGACATCCGGGGTGTTAAACCCCCTTCCCATCCAGGCCATTTTTCAGTATTCAGCTCTGCGGTACTTTGACTGACATTTATTACGTCATGCAGCGCTGTACTGAAATGAATTTTATACCCTTTTTTGGGGACAGATAGAGCTTTCTTTTGGTGGTATTTATTCACCACTGGGGTTTTTATTTTTTAATATATTAAGGAAAAACTACAGATTTTGTTTTAAAAAAAACAGTTCCCCCTATATTAAATTCTAAAACATGTATTACAAATTTTTTTGGTAAAATATAAAAGACGGGGTCACGTCGGGTAAAGAGACACCAAACATGTCAAGCCTTAAAATTGCGCATGCGCGCAAAACCTCAAAAAAAACTACATTACCCAAAATTGGCCATAGGCGACGCATTAAAAGCTTTTACCGCTCATCAGTTTAGTGTTATCAGTGATTGATGGCCCTAAAATGATGGCTCTCACTGCGACGTTCGCTTCAATATGTAACATGTGTAGCGCAATTGTCATTTTCGGGGACTTAAACATTGGGGGGGTTTATTTTTTAATTTATTTTTTGAAACTTTTTTTATTTATATAGATTTTTTTTTTACACTTAAATGAGGTGAGTGGAAATCACTCATCTCATAGTTCTCCTTTAAGATGGCAATATAAGTTCATGCCTGCATAGTTGTTCTAGAGTGAATTGGGAACCCCAAAGCCAAGATGCTCTGTTATGCAAATAGGGATGAAAACTAGGAAGTCAGAGGTTAGCCCTGCCACCTGCCAATCTTCCTTTTTGGTATGTAAAGCAGCCCATCACATTACTGGACTAATGGGGTGACACTAATGGGAAGACTTGAGGTAAGGGCTGAATTTTCCTTATGTGAAGCACTCTAGTAACAAACTTGCCTCTTAAGGAAAGGCATTTTCCTCCCCTGAGATGATGTGCATGATCTCATGTCCTAGTCACATGTGCCAGAGTTCCAGGAAGTAAAATGAGATGGATTAATATAACAATGCAGTGTTAGCTCTGAATTACTGTTGTGTTCAAATCTCACCATGGAGGAGTATTCATCTTCCTCCCATAGTTTACAGCATACACAACTGCTTCTGCCTTGATTGGCCCTTGAATGTGTATGAGAGCTTATGTAACAGTGTGCTGGGATTTAAGATGATAACATCCAGTAGGACATATAAATGGTGTGTACATATGCTCTGTAGAGTATGTTAGCTGAACCTGTTGGACAGCTATGAGTATCTGAAATAACAGCAACTGAAAATGTCTCATAACATTTCAGCAAAGGTCAAATCACTGACTTTCTCTTTAGCTTGGATTACAGATTTGCACTAATCAAATTACCAGCGTCAGGGGCCAAGTTCTTGAACAGACATGCTGGAATAAGGCTAACGCAGCCTGGACTATCGTGCTTTCCTAGGAGAGAAATACTGACTTGCCATTAAGGAATAATCACAGAGTCATCAAGTTTATTTAAAGTTTCGCTGGTTCATCAAGTAAAAAAGGATACAGGACATGCGAGTCTGGTCCAGTGAGTGTGGCCCAACATGCAACGTTTACCTTCAAAGGGAAACAAAAGCTGTAAGTGATCTGGAAACAGCAACATCTGAACTGTAACTAGAAAAAATGATATTGGAACAATTTCAGATTTTGAACAAATAACTTTATGAATATTGCCAAACTAAATACATTGGCAACTCTCATTGCATGTAAAAAGTAACACATGGCCGCATGTCCCAAACATAGGTAGACAGATCTGTGGCCAGACACATATACAAAGTACCATAGATCCAACCATGCTTTTGACAGACTGCATCGTCTATGTCATTTTTTATTTTGCTTATAGTTGCACTTTAACTTTCCATTAAAGATGACTGTACGACCGTCCTCGGACGGCCTCCAATTCATTGCATCCTCATCCTGTGTGAGGATGCATGTCTCCTAGTGATTAACATTACTGTTTGAAGCCCTTCCGTGTGCACCTTGCTGTAAAGCTGGTAACGAATTGATGAGTGCGTTTGCCATTTGTTTTGCTTGACTGATTTGGTGCAGTGACGCATGGGGGGTCTCAGCTGCCGTTGTGATGTGCGGGGTGCCTTGTGCGTACCAGTGCCTTTAAGTGAGGTTGGGCTTCCTCCTGACAAACCTGCACCCAATTTAATCTTTTGCCTCATGTGCTCCAAGATGAAGACTCTCATAGTTTAGAGTTAGGACCGCACTATATGGAGGTGCCTTGACGTAGCTGTGCAGCTTTCACATTTTCTGCAGAAGGACCGCACTATATGGAGGTGCCTTGACGTAGCTGTGCAGCTTTCACATTTTCTGCAGAAGACGTGTATCTAAACCTCTGCTTTTAACCTTAGTGGTTAGACAGGTTTTTTTGCATGCTGGCTGGCGAGTGTGACTGGAAACTTTTTGTTGTTTTACTGTTTGAAGCCCTTCCGTGTGCACCTTGCTGTAAAGCTGGTAACGAATTGATGAGTGTGTTTGCCATTTGTTTTGCTTGACTAATGATTAACATGGCACCAGTTCAGCCTCAGGATTACTCTATGGATGTAGGCTGAATGCACAGGTGTAAGAATGTCAGCATGAAGGCAAAAATGGAAGCGAGCATCCGGGGGTGACCACTCTGCTCATCCATATATGTTTACTAAGTGGGTGTTGCCACCACAGGACAGGAAGTGTGTTACTAGGAAAATCACCCAGTAAACATAAATTAATAAGGTAAACGAATGCAGTCATTTATGTACAGAGGTGTAGCAATGAAGCAAATATTACACAACTGGCACTCAATTTTTGGCTCACAGTGCCACAGGCTCCCATTGCCTACACTTCTAAGTGGGTGCCCTCACATCACAATGTCAATAGTGCAGTTGTCTCTTGTATCATATTGGCTATTCCCACCTCTAAATTATATCCATTTAGTGAACAAAATACACATCTTACTTATATAATAGCATGTCTGAGCAAAAAGATATATTTGTCTGCATGTTACTATGCTAGTGCAAACATATACTGCACTAATAAACTACATTTAATACATGCAACCCTTCCAGGGCATCGTGGCGCTTTAGATTTCCTAGATTGACCACCACTGTAGTAGACAATATTAAGGCCCCATTCACACTGAGCGGTTTATCACGCGGATTTGCGCTGCAAAATCGCGCATATTTCCGCGCGATATCGCTCTGTGTACTAAGTCCAATGCATGTCAATGGAGCTGTTCCCATTTACAGCTCCATGTCGCCTGTAGCTCGCTTGTGCAGGACCCTTTTTTTGCGTGGATGTCGAATTCGCAATATCGCAAATGTGAATGGGGCCTAAAAGAGACTTTTCAACCCCTTTGCTAAAACTTTGCAAAAATATTGTTTGTACCAAACAATATAATTATATTTGTAAATATTAAACCATTTGATGCAGTACAGATTGACAATGCAGGTTCATCGACCATGAATCTATTCATACCTTATGATTTGTAAAGTAGGGATTGTCGTGACTTTCCACAGTGGGCGCATCTTTCCACAGTCCATTAAGGTTCAGAAGACCGTATTTACAGAACCCATTCTCCATGTCACTTACTGCAAATAACCTTTGGCTTGCTGAATCTGCCTGCAAAATGTACAGTGTGATCAACACTGCAGCAAGTAATTAAAACAGAGAAATACATATACTGTCATATACTGTATGCCAACATCAAAAACTGTGTCCATGTTTACAGCCTAAGAATGTATTAATGTTTTAATATTGTGAACCTACCAGAATAAACTCAAACTTGTGTGTTCCTGGACCAGCAGGCTCTGGGTTGACAATTTGTACTTCCTTTCTCTGCATACAGTTCACTTTCAGCTCATGAGCACGTCTACAGCAAAATAAACACTATAATAATGCACATAAAATTATGGAAAAAATAATAATATGCAGGTACGTGGAAGCAGAGGTGCTCTAGAAACATTTTAGACCGAAATTTCTACATTTGTTAGGCCGAAACAGACTTTTTTCCCCCCAACCTTTTAAAAAAATGTTAGATTATTTTTTAATTACTTTATTTTTGTGTTTTGTTTTTTTACTTTACGGTTAGGGACTTTGGGGAAATAGCAGGGGTCACCTTTCACTAGCCCCTCGTATATAAAAAAAAATATATATATATATATATATATATCATACACATACTGTAACATTTGTATCATGTGTTTTTTTGTGGATTTTTGGTTGATATTCTGTCTCTATCGTTTACAATACACCTAAGATAAAAATTATAGACCTTTCATTTCTTAGGAAGTGGGCAAACTTACAAAATCTGCAGGGGATCAAAGTGTGTGTGTGTGTGTGTGTGTGTGTAAATATTGGCACCCCTGCATTTTTGTCAGATAATGCACCATTTTGCACAGAAGACTCTTGCAATTACAATGTTTAGGCATTCTCGTGTTTCTCTTGTTTGTATTGGTTTGACACAAAATTAAAAGCTTTTTGACAAAAAAACAAAATCACAGCTTTTGGTAAAGCCCATCATTCTACTGTTTTCAGAAAAAGAAATGAGACCTTTAACCCCTTCATGACTGAGCTTGTTTTTGGTTTCTGTTCGTAAATGACTGACACACTTTTGAAATTTTTGCTGTGTGATTCTTTCACGTCAGTAATATACTTTCTTACAAAGTGCACCCACACATATTATATATTGTTTTTTAGAGGACAGATAGGGCTATATATTTAGATCACATATGTGTGTCTAACGCCTCACTTAGGACAAATAAAATATAAAAAAAAGAGGAAAAAAACAGTTTTGATTTGGAGTATTTTTTTTAACAAAACCAGCACAGCTAAAAAAAATAATGCAATACATACATTTATTTATCCCTTATTTTTATTTTATTTTTACACTTTTCACTTTTTTTTAAACTTAAAAATTTTATTTGCTTTATTTAATTATATCAAGCAGTCATTGTGAATTTATCTCACTATTACTGCTTGATAAATTAATACATTTTTGGTTATTATCAGGCTGCTTCAAACTTCAGAACAGCCGATAATAAGTTAGTGACACTGATCCTGAGCATTGATGGTTAGAGGATGAGATTGATTTCACTTATTTTTTCCAAGGGCTGTATTACCAAATAATAATTGAAGGTGCCAATCATTTTGTCCAGTCCGTTTTTAGAGTTTTGCATGGAATGTGTCAGATCTGGCTTTTTTTCGCTTTTTTTGTGTCATACCAATACAAACAAAAGAAATACATATGAGAATGCCTAAACATTTGTAATTGCAACAATTTTCTGCACAAAGTGGTGCATTATCTGACAAATGCAAGGGGTGACAATATTTTTGCCCATGACTGTATGTATATTATATATATCTATATATACAGTATATATACTGTATATATAGATACATATATATATATATAGATATATATATGTATATATAATATCCTGAGTCATGTCTAAATATCACCCAGTCTAAATATAGTAGTTGTTTAGGTTAGTCTGGGCAAACAGATATACCATAGCATCATTTGCCATAGCACAACACACTAGGTAAAGCTCTTTAAAACAATGTCCTCTACCCCTAAAATTTTACTGTTAAACACAAAATAAAATAGAGAAAATGGAGGAGGCATGTAGTGGCCTTATAAAACTATTAGATTCTTACCTGCAGTAGGTTGTAAATGGCATCAGTCCAAGCTGACGTTTCCACACTAGCATAGATGCATTTAATCCTGGCCTCGTGGATTTCTGAATGAAGCAAGACTTTTTATTGACCATTTACAGTAAGCACAACTGCCAATAGATAATTGCATCCTGAAACAGGAAAGGGCAATCCTGCCAAGTTCCCATTTCATGATTACATTGAAAACTGTCTCAAAACATCATTATTACTAAAATGTTTGAGTTTTAATACAGGGCAGCCTAGTAGCTATAAATCAAAGGTCAACACAGGACACCACATATATTAAGAAAACAATCAATGTGCTACTAATCAAAAGGAAAACACTTGTCGTTTGTATATCATATATCCCATAAACCCACCACAGCGCTCACCTTCCTATTTTTGTCTTCTTCAAGAAGTTGCAGTCTTTTCCGTTCCATTTCCTTTTGCAATATACCTTCTCTAGTCAATGGGTTGCAGTTATTGTGTCCCGGAAGAAGGCGGAAATACTTGTTCTTTTCGGGATCATAGTAAAAACCAGGAAGTTCTAGGAAAAATAAAGGAATACAGTGATTTATTATTTGCCAACTACGATATAAGATTTGGAGGGTTTTTGTTTAAACTGCATAACTAATTTTAAATCATGGGCAGTTACATTTTAATTCTTAGTTTTAAACGTGTCCTTTGACCTTCACACGTGAAAATCATACCTTGTTAGTGGTCTCTGTGGGTCACATTTAGAAAACACTCTTGTAGCTGATAAGAACATTAATATAGTGTGCATGAGTATCTGCATCTGAGGAAACTGTTGTTACCTGGCACTGAAGAGCTTTGATTTCCACTAGAGGAAGAACTTGCTGCTGTGCTTGTCTCTGAACATTCGGATATATTTGACCTATACCTAGTTAGAAGAAAAAAATGTCATTAGAACATTTAACAAATACAAAGGGGCCTGTTAATCATAGAAAGGTACAGAAAATATTTTTTAACCAATCTGTAGAAGACAGTTGTTCTTTTTTCCCCCTTATTATAACTAGGGATGCACCGAAATGTCGGCCGAAAATGGCACTTTGGGCAAAATGCCGAAAGTAAAATTTTTAGGCCGAAACTATGCATCCATGGTTTCTCTCCTCCCCCTTAGGTGCTGCTCTGTGTGCCCTCTGTCACTTTCAGCAGAAGAGCACTGTGAGCGTGTCACAGGAGGCCGAACGGGGCGATGCGGGAGGAGAGGCCCCGTTCGGCCTCCTGTGACACATCAGAATGGAGAGCGGTGTGGGGGAGGAGACAGCTGTGAGTCATCACAGGAGGCTGAGGTGGCGGTGCGGGGTAGAAGTCAGCTGTCAGCCGTGTCACAGGTGGCTGAGCTCTCCTCCCTGCATCGGTGGCTCAGCCTCCTGTGACAGCGAGTCAGGATAGAGAATGGAGTACAAGCACTCAACGATCAGCTGATCGTTGAGTGTTAGTAAATATTTGAGGACATAGTATGTTTTTTGTTTGTTTTTTTTTATTCAAAAATTTTTATTCAACAAGTTTAAAACATGTCACAGAGTATGCAAAAAACATAAATCAGTCCCCAAGAAACAGTGGGTAGATCCAACACAGTATGTTTAAAGTACAATAAACACGAAGCACAAATGCAATAGACATGCAGTGAATGGCTTGAGATCCGCCACACTTGAGTTTTCCGAGTTATATGAAACAAAAAGAAAAGGAAAAGAAAAGAAAGAAAATGCAGGGTGAGAAAAAGAGAGTAGAACAAGAAAAAAAGAAAAAGAAAAGAAAAGACAAAGAGGGAAGGTAAGAAGGGCCCAGAGATCTTACGAACTCACATCAATACAGGATGAACCCCATAAATCAAAGATCCAACTGTCAAAGTCATGTGGTAAAAAATGGAGGACCCATGGTTCCCAAACCTTGCGGAACCAGGGAAAAGAGTTCTGCAATTTGGCCGTCAGCTTCTCGTTCACCATTACCCAATGTAGTTTATGTTTAACCGCTGATATACTTAGCTTATCAGAAAGCCAAGCCCCAGCAATCATCTGTTTTGCAACCATCAAGACACGTGTCATCAAAATTACCTGATATTTGGAAAAGCTAGGACATTGTATGTTTACTGTGCCCCCAATTATGAATGAACAGGAAGTGCTTTACATCACTTCCTGTTCATTCATGGATTGTGGACATCGTAACCCATACTATATCTCATACTATAGCCCCAATTTATGAATTGACAGGAGTATAGAGGCTTCCTGTTCAATCATAACAGGGACTGCAGAAAAAGAGAGCTGACAGAATTGTAGCCAGCTTGTTCATAAACATAAGGACTGTAAGTGCTTGGGCAAAATTTTTTAGAAATACCGTATTTTGCGCTCCATAGGGCGCACCTGACCATAGGACGCAGGGAGGGTAGGGTTCTGTGACAGCTGTAGTTAGTGACAGCTGAGACAGGTGGCGTTGTGATTACAGCGCCACAGTGTCAGTGATCACACAGAGCATACGAAGAACGGACGTTCTTCGTCTGCTCTACGGGCTCCATGGTGAGCTCCTATGCCGTGGTCACGGGTCCCCCAGAGGAGCGGGGGACCCTAAAAACCACGGCGGGGGGCCCCCCAGACACGATCGCCGCCGCTCGTTTTGATACAAGTGATCTGATCAGATCACTTGTATTAAACGAGCAGCGGCTCCCACTGTACATTTAGCTCTGCTTGTCCAGAGCAGGGCTAAATGTACAAAAAAACTACTCGCCCGGCGCCTGAAACTGCATGTCCCGGGCGTCGGGCGATAGGGATTGGCTTCATAAGACGCACAGACATTTTTGCCCGCCTTATGGAGCGAAAAATACGGTACTTTGCCTGACAATAAATATTTGTTTGATCTGGAATTATTATTGAAAAAAAAAATATTTGTTTTATAGTTTAATACTACTTGAAATACCTTTTATTGAAGTGACTCTGTGACTTATTTCTCATCCATGACATAGATATGGATTTAGGTGCTCAATCATATGCTTCACCAATTTCATTAATTAACAGGCAGCTGTACCATTCATGTATTCACAAAATGTTACTATAAAACAGCCACATACCAAATGTTACATATCATGCTCTGACTCTAGTCCTTACTCTTTGTTCTGTCAATTCATATTCATTAGGTGTAAAAATATGGTAATACAGTACAATAAACCAGGGCTGTAAAAGTCCCAGGAGCCAAGTAAAAAAAAAAAAAATACTGCTCTACCACCTAACTTTTGGCAGCCATTTCTTCTGAGGTATATGATGCACACCTTCCCTGGGCCCGTAAAACCTTATAGGTTCCTATATTTCACTGACTGGCTATTGAATCCTAGAACAATTTATCAATGCCTGCTGTAAGCCCTAAACTCTAATCCTGCCGAGTTGACAAGCAACACAAAATGCCTTGTGTCCTATTCTTAACTCGACTTTGCAAAACAGCCGCCAGTCCTTTCATTGCACTAGGTGAGAGAACAGCTCTGGGGCATGTTTGGGCTGTGCTGAGCGAAGCCAGGTTTAGGTGTAGACAGGGTGGTCACCTTAGCCCTAATTTCACATACTGTGGCTCTTCCAGAGACCCAGAGGAGGTTCTCAGCAGAGATCTATTTTAAAGAGGAACTTCAGGAATGTAAAAAAAATTAACCCTTGCAGTGGGGCTACCCCCACACTGCAAGGGTTGACTGCTTGTTGTTCTCTAAGGGCTCAAATTAAAAAAATACACTCAACTGATCCCACCTAGCTGCTAGACTGGTCCCCATGGCCTCTTCTTCACCGGGCTCCAGTGGTCTAAACTTCGCTGATGGCATCATGCCTAAAGCAGTCCATTCACTTGCATTAGACATGAGGACGCCAAGGGACATACCACCGGAGCCAGAGTGGAGGGGGAGAGAGGTGAGCGACACCACCGCACGACCAAGGATCAGGTGAGTACATTTTAAAAAAAATTCCGGCCCCTGGACAAAAACAAGCAGTTAACCCTTGCAGTGCAGGTGTAGCCCCGCTGAAAGGGTTAACTTTTCACATTCCTGGAGTTCTTCTTTAAAGCAAACCTTTACCCCCTTTAACTAGAAATCACATCGACATACAGCTCTGCATGCTAATATGAAATCATCTTACATTCATTAGCTAAACATATTTTTATTTTACTCGCAAATTTTTTTTTTTTTCCCCCCACCTTCTGGTCCACTTTGGCACAACTTATGTAATCGTGCCCAAGCGTTGCATCTTGGGAAGGTTTGAGCAGCAGAGCATTGCTGGGAAATCTTATCTGTAATCTCAGGAGATCTCAGTGAAAGGCATTTTCCTCCCCTGAGATGATGTGCATGGTCACATGTCCTAGTCACATGTGCCAGACTTCCAGGAAGTATAGGGAGATCTAGTAGCCTGCCCTTAGTAAAATGGCCACTGCCAGAAGACTGAGGAAGAAAAGAACAATAAGCCATGGTATGCAAAAAATAAAAAGCTTGCAACTATCTAGAGCCATCTGTGTGTAGATTGTCATTACAAAACATTTCCTTTGCCTTTATTTTAGAAATATGGGTAAAGTTCCTCTTTAAGGGTTTGTCCACCCAAACCACCTATTTCTGCTTTGATTAAATTCAGCGTTGGAAATCACCCTCATCATTGTAAAGGGCAAGACTCCACTGGACTGAGAGAAAAACGTAGGTTGCCACTGCCAACCTTTCCTTCTGAAGTTGCTAGTTGGCAGGCTGTCACGCTGTTGCCATGCCTTAAGGCCTCACGCACACAAGGCCACAGAACATAAACCGTGGTCGTATTTCTGCATCCAGGAAACACAGCTGCAGAATACAGGCACCCTGTAGTGAATGGGTGTAGGTGGCTGTACACATGTTTATGCAGCTACCGTACTTATATAAACCTGCACACCCCCTGGGCACAGACAAGCAGGTTGTATGCACACACAGGTTTATTATTACATAGTATTTATATAGCGCCAACAGTTTGCGCAGCGCTTTACAAAATAAGGAAGACATTACAGTTACAATACAATTCAAGACAAGATGGTAAGGAGGGCCCTGCCCCTGAGGGCTTACAATCTAAAAGTTTATGTGGCGTAAATTGTCATACAGTCACCTACACCCAATCACTACTATAGCCAGCTGCGGCCATGCATCCCAGTCGCACAATTTACATCTTTCAGTCATTCACCTGAAACAAGCATACACATGAAGAGCTCTGATGTCACTTTATTCCTTGCATGTGCTGGTTCAGTGACACAGCCAAGCAGCTAGCATTTGCATGAGGGGAGGGAGCTTAGCAACCACATCCTACACATTCCTCAGAGCACAGATCTCCTTGTAATGCACATAGAGGCTTGTACTGCTGAGTGTCCTGGTATAAAGTCACATGCAGCCCAGCCACAAGGAGTGCAATCCAGGCGATCTGTGATCAGGGGCACTCGTAATCCGTCAGCGACTAGGCATGGCTAGTCACGTGACACTGCCCTCCAGGGACGTTACCGCCACACAGCGCTGGCCGCCTCATACTCACACCGTGCGAACAGCGCTCCCCGTCACACACAGGAAACACAAACACACGTGGAACCAACGAGAGCTGCAAGTCCCGGCTGAGGAGAGACCACTCTCCCCCTTCACGGCTGCTGCCATCTTGTGGTCAGTGCGCGAACTGCCTTTACGTGTAGAGGTGAATAGACCCTTTGAGCTTTTTAAGTAACGTTTCGTTTACAGAAAGATCAGAAAGATAGTTCATGGGTTTTTTTTGTGCGTGTTTTTGTAGTTTTTTCAGGATTTCCTCCCACCACCACCACCACCACCGGCAATCTACCTGACAGTTGGTACGTTTTACCTGTGAGTGAAAATTTCCAATAACATTCTGAGGGGAATTTATCAGAACTGGAGCGGATAAAATGTGGAGCAGTTGTCCAAAGTAACCAATCGGCTTCTCGCTTTTATTTTTAAAAGTTTAACTGCACAAACTTAACAGAGAAGCTGATTGGGTGTCCTGAGCAACTGCTCCAGATTCTGTCTGCTTCAGTTCTGATAAATTCCCCTCGATGTTTGCAGTGTGCCTGCCGCCCGCTTTCCAGCCAGCTTCCCAGGTTGCTAAGAGCCGGGAGGGGAGATGCGTAAGGGCCATGCACATCTTCCTGCCCAGCTCTTAGCAATCTGGTACGCTCTGGGCGGCATCCCACTCAGCTCTTGGCGACCAGTGATGTCACTGGTGCTCTCATATTGGACTGTTGAGCTGCAGTGTTGGAGTTTAGGTTTGGATAGGACAGGCAGGGCCGTCCCTATAAAGAGGCATGGCTTGGGGCGGCATCTCATCAGGGGGCCGGCAGAGGGGAAGAGCTCTTAGCAACCTGTAACAACCTATGTTCTGTCCGGCTTCCCTCCCAGCTCACCGACATCATTGGTTGCCAGGGAGCCAAGTGGGGGCTCTTGTTGATGTCCCACCAGGCTCCTGGCAACCAGTGACGTCAGTGAGCTTGGTGAGACCGGACAGAGAGCCACCAACAGGCACGCCCCACCCATATCTGCTACGGCACCCCTACTCTGAAAAGCACTATCAGCAGCAACCCCCCCACAGCCACAGATGGCATGCAGGGTAGGGAGGACAGAGATTATCTTTGTATCAGAAGTCCGGGCTCTATATACTGTGCCTGTCCTCCTAGAATCAACGGGCTCCTTGCAGGGCACAGCAATGCACATTTGAGGATTCCTAAACATAGTTACAGGTAAGTTGCATAATTTTAATAATAATGTTAGTTTGGTCACTTTTTTTTTTAAATAATGAAAGGCTGATGAATGTTCACTTGTTAGGACACCGAGCACAGGTACAGTATGTGAAAGCACATTCTTACCTTGTTTGCCAGTATTGTGAAAGATTTTGAAGCATTCACAAACACCTACAATCTGTATTCATATCTAGCACTGCAACCAACTAATCGGTAATAATCAATGAAAATAGTTGTCAGCTATGCTCATTATCGATTAGTTGGTTGATTCTCCTAGCTCTCTCCTCCACACTGGGAGCAGGGCACAGCAAGCAGTGGTCGGGTGCAATAGCCAGCCTGCTATTGCAATTTGAAATGTCCAATAGCAGGCTGGCTATTGCACCCGCCCACTACCTGCTGTATTTACATTCAGCTGCCGTCTATAGAATCTTACCACTGGCAGATGTCATTCCCTGGTTGAAGCTATTCCAGCGCCATGTGCTTACAATACAATTTTTATAAAAGGTGGGAAAAAAGTCATTTCCGATTTCAGCCTGACAAATTCTACTGTGGGAGGTGCGTTGCAGTGCCATTCATTTCAATGGCACCCCAAACGTGCCTCCCCCCGCAGTGTGATCGCCTGCACTGGAACGCACGATGCCGCAATGCTGTGCGTTCCAGTGCTGTGCGATTACGCAAAAAAATTGTGTATGCAGTTTTAGTCTGCATTTACACTGCGTTTGTGTATTTTATTTCAAATTAAGGATGGTATTTTTTTCATCCGATTAAGCAGAAAAATAATCGGCCAACTAATCGATTATGAAAATAATCAATAGTTGCAGCCCTATCCATGAAAACACTGCGTGTAGTACCCGACAGTGTCATATTAGCACAGTTTTGCTTGTGAAGATGCTTCAGGAACATCAATATAACAGAGAGGACAGATTTTGTCTGATACAGCATATAGTATAAACAATGATGACACAAAGGTCCAGCTGTTGCCTACAGGTGGGTTGTAGGAGATAGGATATCCGCCATGTTTCTACATAGAAATTAGCATCCTCTATTACAAGAGAACCCCATTAAGTGTATACAGATGTTTCTTCTTTTTCACTGTCATGTTGTGTCATATTTCTCCTGCTTAATGAAAACAAAATGACAGTGGCACCCCAGGGCATTGAATCTTGTGGGGAAAAACTGAGAGAATGCACGTGGGCATATAAAAAAAATGGCAAAGTAATGAGGACAGAGGAAAGTAGATCAT